GAGCAGGACCAAGAGTAAGCAGAAGTCAAGAAAATCAAGTACAAGCTTACAGAACCCAAGGAAAGAAAGTATCAAGATAAACTTTGTGACTTAATAGCACATTTGTACCCATAAAATTGGAAATAGTGAAATTCAGAGTGTGAAGATTTGATAAGAGGTCCGTAATGAAGAAAAGCAAGCAAGCCTTAGTCAGCTGCTCTATTGAGATGTAATGAAAACAAAACAAAACAAAAGCATGAAATAGTAGTTTGATTTCTTTTTCTTAAGAGAGAATGGATTATGCTTGTATGCTGAAGAAACCAGTGCACTGAAGTTGAGAGAAAATGGAATAAGGGAAATCTGAGAGGATGGTTGAAAGAAATGTAAAAGTCAAAGAATAGAAAACTGAAATTTGTATCAGACTATTTTCAGTCAAATTAGAATGTCATCATAGTGAGAGAGATGAGGATGCTACTGAGTGGGGGTGGGGTAGATATTAGAAAGATGTGTTAACTGAGTTAGAAGTCTATTTATCTTTTATTATAAAAGATGTCCAGGGGCAACTGGGAGGCCCAGTCAGTTGAGTGTCCAACTCTTGATTTCTGCTCAGGTCATGATATCAGGGTTGTGAGATTGAATCCCATGTCCATGCTCAGCATGGAGCCTGCTTTAGATTCTCTTTCTCCCTCTCCCCCCATCCCCTGTCCCATCCCCCCTCCACAAACACATGTGCTCTCTGGAAAGAAAGAAAAAGAAAGGGAAGAAAAGAAGAGAGAGAGAGGGAGAAAGAAGGAAGAAAGGAAGGAGGGAAGGAGTCCAGAGGAAGGCAGACAAGGAGTGGTTTGGCGGTTCCAAGTCATGAGGAACACTGGCTCATTCTAGTTTTGCTTTACCTTTCTAGTTACCAACTTCTGTTTTCCCAGTTCGAGAGAGAGCTGCTCGCTCTTGTCTTCATCACATGCCATGTGCTGGCTAGCAGAGGAAAGGAAAAAGACAGAGTAGGTTCCTTGCTGCCACATTAGGTCTCTTTAAGCAGCCTTTCTGGAAGTATCACACACATGTTGCTTTCCTCTATTTGCCAAAACTCACATTAGCTAACCTGTCCATGAAGGAGGCTGGAAAACGTAGTTGTTTTCCCTCAGTGTGACCAGAGGAAAGTCAGGGTTCTCTGACTAAGCAGGCAGGATAAATGCTATCAGTGTAGGTAATTGCTGGTCTCTGCCATAGGCCTGGTAAAAGCTTGTGGTGAGGCCAATTATTTCAGTTTTGTTACTTTTTCCAGCTTACTAGGAAAAGAAGGTGTTTTGGCCAGGGCTATGGATTGGAGTGGCTGTTAGCAATAAGGAAGTGAGCAATTCCAGGATACAAGCAGCAGTATTGCTGAAATCCTGATAGTGAGGTCCAGGCTGTAGGACTGAAAAAGAATAATATAATATGCCCTCTGGGGACTGGAGCTCACTAGAGGGTGGAGAGCTAATTAAACAAAGAAGATAGGATTGGGAAAGGAGAGAAGATAGAGTGATTAAAAAGGGAAGTTTCAAGTTCACAGAGGTTAAGGCATTTACAAATGCTCCAAGTCTGACTTGTGGCTGTCCTCGCCTGGCATGGAAAATGGACTATTATAGTTGATGGGTACGCATTACAGAAATAAGGCTAGAAGGATCATTGATAAGGATGATGTCAGGAGGTAAAAGTGGAAAGGAACACTGGAGGCTAAAAACCAAGACATTCATCAAATCTTCAGTAAACAGAATGAGAAGGATTGGTGTCATGTGCAAGATTTATCTCCAACTGAGAAGAGATTCTTTAGCTATCACAGGGAAAGGAATGGCAGGTATTTATTGAGTACTTACCATGTGGCAATCAACAAACCGTGTGTGTGTGTGTGTGTGTGTGTGTGTGTGTGTGTGTGTTTAATAGGAAAATGATTTTTAAATCAAGTATTTTGGAACAATTTTAGATTTACATTAGAGATGCAAAAATCCAGAGTTCCTTTATTCCCTTCATCCCAACCTGAATGTCTCTAACACTAATGTCTCCCGCAACCACGGGACATTGGTGAAACTAGGAAATTAGTTCATAGTTGTGTACCACTGTTAAACTTTATTGGGATTTCTGTCTGCAGTTGCCTTTTTTTGTGCAGTTGGGCCCTTGTTTGCAGCTTTGTCCTTTTGCTGGGGCAGGATGCAGTCCCAGACGCCGTACCGTATTTAGTTGCCATGCCTCCTTAAGTCTCCTTTGGTCTGTGACGGTGTCTCCATCTCTGCTTTTTTGACCTTTACATTTTAAAGAATACTCCAAGGAGTCTTGTGGAATGTCTCTCAGTTTGCGTCTTTTCTGATATTCTCTCACAATTAGACTGGGATTATGTGTTTCTGAAGATACCATAGAGCGGGAGTGTGCTTGTCATAGCATCATTTAGGGAGAACAGGCTACAATGACTTACCATTGGTGACATCAACCTCCATCACTACGTTAAAGCAGTGCTTGCCAGATTTCTATAAACTCATTATCCACCCCCCTTCCTACTCTGTTCTTGGGGAGCAAGTTGCTGAGTTTAGCCCCTACTCAGCAGGAGGAGGTATTAAACTCCATCGACTGGAAAGTATAATATCTACAAATACTTGTGCTTCTTCATGAGGAAGATTTACCCCTTCTTGCTCATTTATGTATTTAATCACATATATAATAAGAGGATGGACTCATGGATGTTTATTCTTTGGGTTTTAACCCAATGCTATTATTTATTTTGTTGCTCAAATTGTTCCAGTTTTGGCCATTGGCAACTAAATACTTTTACATAAATTATTTATTGAATCCTCCAACAATCCAGTGAGGCAGGTATTACCATTACCCTTATTTTGTAGAAACTCTGACTCAGAGAGTAACAAACCTTCCCAGTGATTCCTAGCACACATGTGGAAAGCCAGGAATGAGAGTCCAGGGTCTGTGTGCTTAGCTTTGCTACATTTTCAGAGGAAAAGGATGTTCCACAAATGTCAATCAGTAATGAGGTGTCTTTTTATCTCACCCCCTTTTTTAGAGGTGAGATAACAGACTTTGAAGCAATTCATAAAGGCAGGAGTAGCAGAATGGATGTGCTTCCAAAGGTATAGTATATAGAGAAAAAAAAAAATCACAAATGGTCAGAACTAAGCCTGTTGCCAGATGGGAAGGGGGGAGAGTAGCTAACAAAGGAAAGAGCGGGAGTGATAGGAGGTTGCAGGAGAATTAATAACACGGAAACTAAGGGAGGAAAAAAGTGCATTGAGGGTTGAACTTGGCTGCTGGGCCACAGCAAATCAGCTTACAGCAAGGAGGGAATTAAGTGAACTTCCACAAAGCAGTGTAATGGAAGGGTGGAAAATAAAACCAAATTTCAGGAGATCAAAAATTGTTTTAGAGAAAGGAGATAAAGAATTTAATAATAAAAGGTGGCAGGGCCAAGTGATTATTTCCAGGATGGAGGGAGAACCTGCACCCAGGGAAGTTTATGGAGAGAGGGAGACAAGACTGGATGGGGAAATGTGCACAAGACTTGGAAAGGAAGGGCATTCTTCTTGGAGTTAGGGGAACCTCTCCTCACATACTAGAGGTGAGCCTCAGAGATCAAGGACAGTGATGTGTTTGAGCTGAAAGTGCGGACATCTTGAGGATGTGTTAGGGTGTTTGATGATTTCAATTTTATTAGTAAAACTGCCAGCAAAGTCATCTGCAGACACTGGGGGAAAAATTAGTGACGTATTTATTATCCCGTGAGTAGCTAACACTACTGGGTCCGTGTCTGGTAGGCTTGGTGAAAGAGGGCAAGTTGAAGTCATTCCTGCTAGTAGAAGCCATTTGAGTGAAAGCAAAGATCAGAAATATGATTATCTGGATTTGTACTGGATGTTTTCCAGTCAAATGGTTAAAATTCAGTATTTTATGTAACTCTTAGGTAAAAGACTCAGTCTTTCTAAAGTGTTCAGAATTAAGTATAGTACTAAATTGTTAGGTTTAGGTATCGAGATGTTGACAAAAATCCCTAATAATTATAAAGGCTGAACATAAGACTAATATAAGAAAAATGTTATTAGAATGAAAACTTCATTTTTCGGGACACCTGGGTGGCTCAGTCGGTTAAGCATCTGCCTTCAGCTCAGGTCATGATCCCAGGGTCCTGGGATCGAGTCCCACATCGGGCTCCCGGCTCAGTGGGAGCCTGCTTCTCTCTCTCCTCCCTGCTCATGCTCTCTTCTCACTATCTCTGTCTCTCTCTCAAATAAATAAATAAAATCTTTAAAAAAAAAAAAAAAAACTTCATTTTTCTCAGACTTTTTTCTTCAAATAATTCTAACTGCAGAATTCTTGGTGAATGTTTTAATAGTCAGGAATTTGACACCGAAGGCTTATCATTTGTATCTGTTAGAGGATATAGGCTTGAGCCATACTTATTCTAATCTAAGCACATGATGAGTTGTTTTATTTATTTTTATTTATTTTTTTAAAGATTTTATTTATTTATTTGAGAGAGAGAGAGAGAGAGCACATGAGAAGGGGGAGGGGCAGAGGAGAAGCAGACTCCCTGACGAGCAGGGAGCCCGATGCGGGACTCGATCCTGGGACTCCAGGATCATGACCTGAGCCGAAGGCAGTCGCTTAACCGACTGAGCCACCCAGGCACCCACATGATGAGTTGTTTTAAAAATTTGTCAAATATTCTTGAAATATTAAAATGGAATTTTAAAATTTAATCTGAGATATTAACACCATTACATCTATAACACTAATACAAAATTTAAAAGAACATTCTAGTTCAGAAGCACTTTATGAAGTTATTTGAAGGGTGTTTTTATAAAAAATATAAATTCAGGTAAAGGCTAAAATATCCAGGGGCAGAACTTTATAAGAAGTTTATGAATTACTGTTTAATGTATCCTTAAATATTATAGATTGCCTTCATCTAACACAGTTATAATACTATACTAAACATGCTCATTTCCTCTATATGGACCAGAAAGAATTTACATTAAAACATATTATTTACACTTAGTGATTATTTTATTACCATATATTATTGTATACAATTTTGTTTGATAAGGATAAAATCATATTTTAAAAATGTATGCATGGCATAATAGGTAAGCAGTAACATTTTGAAGAAAAGAGAAAAGCCATGAAAACATCTACCTAAGATTTGGTAATACTGAGAAACACGAGATGGTAGAGCATAGTGATGACTGAAAGGTTCCTACTACATTGAAACACTGGTGAATCTTCAGACACGAGAAGAACAAACTGGTATAGAAGTTCAAATTAGACACATCCATATCCTCAGAAGTGCGCATCATGTAAAAATGAATCCCTCGTTACAGCGGGGACACACACAGCATCCTTTGGCCCTTAGCAATACAGACAAATGTATATTTGGTTTAATGTGATTTTGTTGTTATTAGATACATTTTAGTTATTTTATATAGATAAAAATATACAGTATTGCTTTAAAATTTTGTAACTGTATAAGTGCTTAACTGTCATCCTATTCACAATGTAAAATAAGCCTATTTATCTGCTAAATAATTCACTCAAAAACATGTGGAAAAGACTAACAAAAATGGTTACATGAAGACTTTTAATGAAAGGCTTAAATGTAAAAAAATGGAATATTAATGCAGACCCTGCTCTAAATCTTCAGTGTTACCTCGTGCTGAAAACAAATTATGAAATGGTTTAGATAAATTTATTTTTTCAACATTTAAATTGATGCTACAGATTGAAAATTTTGACTGAAAATGCATATAACTGACATATTTTGTCTGAAGCCTTTTATATACATTGATTTACTAAAAAAAAGGTGAAAAATATTGTATTTTAATACTACATCTCAGTTTGAGATTCCATCATGTTTTTATATACTACATGCAATCTGTGTCTGCCCTTCAGATGTCACATTTAAGTAAAAGGGTTTTTTTTTTTTAAAAAATCACCTGAGGATGGTAAACTTAGTAGGGTGATTAATTTGCCTTACTGATAATAAAGGTCATTATATCATATAAACAACATAATGTTTGAAGTTAAGAGAACTGCATGGTTGTCTTAATACCAAGGTAAAAGCAGTTGCATTCATTGTATGATTTCTTAAAAAGATGCACTGATAAAATATGTAAGACCCAAATTAGGTGCATATATAGGGTATAGACTTTTTAAATGAAAGATTGAAAATATTTTACAAATAATTTTGTTCATTATAAACTATAATTGCACCATTCATTTCACTCATAACAATACTTCGCATTAAACATTGCTATATTCCATCTTAACACTCCTCAAATATGAGAAAAATAGTTTCCACTGTATTAAGAAGTGAAATTTATAAAGTCAACACATTATACCTTAAAGCTCATTCTAGATCTAAAATAGTTTTTAAAGAATTTATACACGTTGAAATGGGTGATTAATTAAAGAGCTAGAAATAAAGCTACTTCTCATTGCAAGTTAATAAACATGGTTGCATTCAAGCAGATTTTTCCACATTGCAACATTCAGTGATCACGGAAATTTTAGTAAAGGTAAATGGTAGTATCTCTCTTTCTTCTGAAAACACTGTTGAAATTTTAGTGCTGTGGTCTTAATGTTTATATGATGATCAAAAAATAATTCAGAAACACATTTTACTCTCAAAATTTTTCAACATAAGGCACAGAGCAACATTTAGAGTCTAGAAGCAACTGGATTATATAATAAATATCTTCTCAATCATTATTTGCCCTTTTCCTGAAGAGAGTGGGTGAGTAGTGCAGTTAAAACATGCTTGGAAAAATAAAAATGACTGAATTTAAGAAATACAAATAATATTTGTGCGCAGAATGTTATTAATTTAAAAAGGTATATTTTCTATCAAATATACATCCTACAGTGTTAGAGGTATAAAAAATTGTGAGGCACTTATATTAACAATGAAGAAGGAAAGCACTGAGATTATCTTTTATAAAAGCACCACACCACTTATTTTAATATCGGAGATAAAAGCCGAAACCAAAAATAAAAGGAGTTTAATTCTGTATTTGGCGTATTGACAATGTAGGAGTTTAAAACTCAAAAGTTTTTTTTTTTTTTTTTCGGACAGAAATTTAAAAGTGTCCTAAAGTTCCCCTAAATAAGTTTTGTATATTCCCTGGTACTCAGAATCACGTGAAATAGAGATGGACTCTCACCCTCTGGGGCAGCACACTTTCTATTTTAATGATTTTAGGATATGTTATTTTTGATAATTTTTTTAACTCTTAAAAACATTGGTTTGGAGAAATAGCACAAACAATAACACACAACAATGCCTCCATGGAAACTTGCTGATGACCAACACTGACAGTTTTTATTCTGTAATCTTCTGCAAACTCATCCGAAAACCAAGGTGCATAAAACGGGGTTGGAATTATAGGAATCCACTGGATGTCAAATCAGGGAAAGGTCTGGCTTCTGATGGGTGATGAAGGGCCTGAAGATGTGTGGTAGTCTGAGTGTTATCTATATTATTTAATTCAGCAGGATAGGTTTCATTTAAAACTCCTCCATTCTGAAACTGCAAACAAAATAGCAATGTGATTAATTAGATCTTTCAAGTATCTTAAGCCACTAAATGATATATTAAAATGCAGTTTTAAAATATTTGCCTTCAGGGGCGCCTGGGTGGCTCAGTTGGTTAAGCGACTGCCTTCGGCTCAGGTCATGATCCTGGAGTCCCGGGATCGAGTCCCACATCGGGCTCCCTGCTCAGCAGGGAGTCTGCTTCTCCCTCTGACCCTCCTCCCTCTCATGCTGTCTCTCATTCTCTCTCTCGCAAATAAAAAAAAAAATTAAAAAAAAAAAAAAAATAAAATAAAATATTTGCCTTCATATTGTTAAACTTCAAATTCTTTACTGTTGCTACATTTTAAATGTTCCATGAAGACCCACTGAGCACATATTGTGTGTTATATTTATAACCTTTGGTTTCTCCATTAGATGGTACATCTGATGTGTGATACATTGGTCTCAGCTCAGATTTGGCACTCCATACATTAGAAGAGTATTTGATGAACAAATTGCCTTTGGTTTGGATAGGGACTGATGTCTCAGAGAGTACCAGCTATGAATCACAGTTATATTTATCCATCATAGGTTTGCTTTGGCCAGATTTCATCTCAGTCAAGTTCTGGGTACCAATGAAGTGACTACATTCAAAATTAACATGCTGGACTACAGACCTAGGACTTTTCCATAAGAGGTCAGTTCTGAGAGATGTCTTAATATTCCTAAAATATTACAGAGATGGACAGGATTTCCTAAATGATTTTTTTGTTATATGCTTTTAATCTGTAATTGGGACCATTTTAATAGTACTTGAGTTACCAAATATCCTCTTACAATAAAATTAGTCTAATGCTGCTAAAAAAAAAAAAGGCAGATACACAGTTCTGTAGGGCTTTATAGATTATAGAACCTTTGCATTTTAGTATATAGTGAAAGTTGTGGAAACTTTCAAATAGGTTGAAATCATACCTTCAGTTGCTTCAAATAAAACCAATGTAACGTTAGACTTAATGTTAACATTAGACTTAAAAGATCCTCCAAAACACATATTAAATATATAGTAAAAGTCACATAATCTAGGGCTTCAATGAACGGCAGCCACATGGAGTCTTCAAGTGGAAGTTGGTGTTACTCAGAGAATTGTAGGCTTTGACCAAATGATGCCTATCAGTCATAACATGATGCATGCCAGCAATTCTCTTTAAATATATTGTCAAAAGAATGCTGTACGATAGAAATATAATGTGAACCACATAGGAAATTTTAAATACTTCCCTCGGGGAATATATAGATAGGTCTACAGACTTCCTATTACCTTACTATTCATAAAGAAGTAATCCAAAGTAAAGGGGGAAAATGAAGAACTTGTGGTAATGCAATTTTAAACTATGATTAACTAAATTTTAAACTCAATGATTAACTTGTCAACAGTTTACTCAAGTTACCTATCTATGCCACATCATAGCAATGTTTTGAGGTAGACTGTCACTGAAAACTAAATTTCGAGATAGTTGAAGAGTGTTGGGAATGAGGATAGACTGGATATATATCAGAGGAAAAACTTCCACTGCTATTTCCTGCTGCAAAGCTCATCTACAGACAAACCAAATGTATGAAAAATGTCATAAAAAACAATTACAAATATGAACTTGAACCGTTTTTGCTAATCTATAACTTTAATATACAGTAAATAGAGACCAATGAACTTAATTTAGATCAGGATTTTCTTCAAAAGCCTACTTAATTATACTTTAAAGTGAACTAAATACTTTCTAATGAAAAGCACGAATGTAAACATACATTCCCAAGGAGCCATAGAGAGCAGCTATCATCCTTGTTAACTTTTTTTTTAAGTGATTACTTTTAGATTTAAAGTGTGGTTGCTGGTAGAAAGATTTTGATGACCTATTTAAAAAACAAAAATACAGAGGTGTCTGGGTGGCTGAGTCAGTAGAGTATGTGACTCTTGATCTTGGTGTTGTGAGGTCAAGCCCCATGTTGGGTATGGAGCTTACTTAAAAAATAAGTAAAAATTTAAAAAACAAAATACAGTGTCAAGTTTGACCACATGAAAGAAAACCAGTAATTTAGGCTTTTTAAAAATGTGCCAGAAGAAAAAAGGATAAACTGAGGATCTGGCAGATAACATGGGGGTATTGCCAGAGAATACTGAGGAAACTAGCACTGAATTCAGGGATCACCAAGGACAAAAGTCATTTGAAGAAAGCACAACCATATATAACCCATATAAAAAGACTGAATCTCAGGAAACAAACCGAGGGTTGCTGGAGTGGAGAAGGGTGGGAGGGATGGGGTGGCTGGGTGATGGATACTGGGGAGGGTATGTGCTATGGTGAGTGCTATGAATTGTGTAAGACTGTCGAATCTCTGAAACAAATAATATATGTTTAAAAAAAAAAAAAAGATAGCAGGAGGGGAAGAATGAAGGGGGGAAATTGAAGGGGAAGGTGACCATGAAAGACTATGGACTCTGAGAAACAAACTGAGGGTTCTAGAGGGGAGGGGGGTGGGGGGATTGGTTAGCCTGGTGATGGGTATTAGGGAGGGCATGTTCTGCATGGAGAACTGGGTGTTACGCACAAACAATGAATCATGGAACACTACATCAAAAACTAGTGATGTAATGTATAGTGATTAACATAACATAATAAAATAAAAAAAATCTCAAAAAAAGCATTGAGGTTTTTTTTTTTTTAAGAGAGAGAGAGAGAGAAAGAATCTTAAGCAGGCTCCACACCCAGCATGGAGCCCAACGCCAGGCTCAATCTCAAGACCTGAGATCATGACCTGAGTCAAAATCAAGAGTTGGAATTGGGTCACCCAGGTACCCCTAAAGAAATTACTTTTCAAAATGCAAATATATTTTGGAACTCTGAATTTTTTAGAGAAACCCAAGGATCTATTCTAAACAATGTACTTTTCACTAATTTCACCTGGTAACTTATGGACATACTCGTGTTGCCTTAGCCCTTGACCTGTTTCTCCTTTACAACTCAAGTAAAAAAATCTATTAGTAACATACTAATACTAGAAAAGTCCTGGCTTATAAAAAAGTAATCACAGACATAAAAAGTTTATAACTTATGCATATTTATTTTTTAAAATCTTTTTTTTTTTTAAAGATTTTATTCATTCATTTGAGAGAGAGAGA